GTATTCAAGAAGTAGGTTAAAATTTAGCCAGTCTCCAGTCATACGATAGCTTTGCGATCTCGTCAAATAGCTTTGAATCTCTTTTCAACATCCAACGATTATTTTAAAGCAGGAGCCAGCTATTTGTATGCAATACTTGCGTTAAAGACAAACGAATATTGTATACAAGATTAAAGGCTCTACGTAAAGATCATAGGGTTCTAAGCGTTCAACAGTGGTCACACTCATTGTGAAGTAGTTTTTAAGTTTTGACTTACGATGAATCCTAGATCATTGTGTGTCTGGGTAGAAAGAAGCTCAGAGTTATACACCATGTATGTTTTTGTGACTAACTCCGTTCGGAACTCCTCTGAGCCTACTGTCAGTCCAAGGACTAGATAAAGGAGGAGGGTTAGGCATATGTTAATCTATCTCATCCTGTATAAGACTAGCCCAATAAAATAAAAACACTAACCAGACAAACGCATATGAACTGAAGTCACATTGTTACGCATGAACGTCAACACATCATTTGATATGCTTAAACTAATACGAGTTTACCGTAGTCTAAAAACGAAAGCGATGATCCGGCGACACGACAGGCTAATCTAATCCGAGCGTCCCAAACCCATAGTAAGTAGAAAGTAGAAAGAACAAATTGGACTTACGAAAGTGATTCTCATTACGGGGTTGTAAAGATTGTTAAGTTAGACATTGTTGAAACCATGAATCGATCAACGTTAGACCACCATTATTCTCCATTAGAACCTAGGAGCACTGGACGGCCGTTTCGTACTGGTATTGGACTTCTCAGCAGTGCGCATCCACGACTCCTGCACTGTCTTCATTAGTTACTCTCTACACCTAAACAGGTTGAACTTCAATGATCACGACTTCCCACGGAATTAGTTTTTAGTGAGCACAGGTAACTGCATTAGGGGTTTGTGAAGATTATTAAGTAACACATTTGAAATCATGAATCAATCAATGTTGGACCACTATCAGATGGGTCCTGGTATGAGACTCATCAATGAGAGTGCGCACCCAGGACTTCCACATCTCTCAGGATTTGAACCCGAACAGGTTTAACTTCACTGGTCACGTCTTCCCACTAGAACTCGGAGAAGATTACTCACGAAGCTAGTTACTATTGAACACAAGTAATTTGTATTACGGGGTTTTGAAGATTGTTAAGGTAGACATTTTTGAAACCATGAATTAATCAGTGTTAGACCACCACAATTGATAAAAACATGGAAGCACAGAGAGATGATCGTTTCGCTATGATAATGGACTCATCAGGATTGTGAGAAATGAATTTATTGAAGTCTCTGCAAAATTTTCTCAATTTCTTGATTTTTATTTACAATTTGTCAATGAACTAATCATGATTTTGATAGACAATTAAGGGTGTAAACATGTATTAACAATACAAATATAGTGAGAATTTTTCGTTTCATTAATTAGTAAAAGTGAGAAATGATTAGGAACGCTTATCTACTAATCATTAGGTGGATTATTTAAGGCGTAATAGAAATACAACTTGACAGGAAATTTGTAGACTGTTTATGTGTGTTCATCAGGTCAATTAATATGTAGTGACTGGCTGAAACACACACTGAAATGAAGACAAACATCGTTTCCATTAATCAAGTTATTGCATCACAGGGTTGTGAAGATTAGTGAGTTACATATTCGAAATCATGAATCGATCAGTGTTAGACCAAAGGGTTCGAACCCTGTGAGGTGTAAGAGTCCTGAATGGACACTCTCACTGATGAGTCTCATACCAGGACCCATCTGATGGTGGTCCAACTTTGATCGACTCTTGATGTCAAATGTGTAACTTCGTAACCGCGGGATGCAATTACCTGTGCTCACTAGGGACTAGCTCAGTGAGGAATCTTCTCCGTGTTGGGATTTAGACAGTAACTACCAAAGACTGTGAATGAGGTTGTGCAAGACCGTGAATGAATCGAAGTTAAGCAATAGCGCTGTTACACACAGGCTCAATGGTCTAGAGGTTAAGCGTTTGCGCGATAGACCGAAAGACCTGGGTTATTACCATAAAATGGTGTACCAGTACGTATGTTTGTAAACTTTCAATAATTTCATTCGAAATCATGCATCGATCACCACTGAAAAACCACACTTACTGGACTTCCGTTTCATCCTAGCATGCGCCTGAATCATCAGAAGTGAGCATTCATGACCCGTGCAATCAAGAGTCGAACTTAGAACCTTCCCTCTCAATTGAGTACGCTTATGTTGAGGACCAGTGAGTTGGCATGGACAGCTGTTGATGTCTATTAGATTTTAATGCTTTCATCGAGAAGGCAAAAGCCGAATAAATGACAAGTGAATTCAGGGTATGAAAATACTACTGATATCGAAGACTTGATATGTTCGTACTGAAGAGAAACTCATACACTTCATAATGTTGCATGTTACCCTTTAGCCAAACACACCACAGACAACATTAATAATACACTCATTTAGATCTTGAAACCAGTTGACAGTTTTTTGTGCCACCTAGAACAGGATTCCTGTGAAGTACGCATCCACAACCACAACAGGAATCCAAAATAGGATAATTAGTTCTGACAGAAAGCGCCTCATCTATCGATCATTTAGCCGGCATCCATAGATCTACATTTCTAACGGTAACTAGTTCGAGATTCTGCGTAACCATATACCGACAAATTCAGTTGGCAATTCTCTCACAAGTATGAAGTTTACTTTTGTAAGCATTTTCACTACAAGTTCTGAAGTCACACCACTTTAGTAGTCACTAACAATTCACCAGTGCGCTGTCAATATCCCTTGTTCAAATCAAATCACGTTCGTCAATTCACATCATCAACATCCCTCTGATACTTTCAACCTCTCAATGTTTTGTTTTTCTGTTCAATCAAGATACGTTTTTGATGTAAAAACAATCAGTAGACAATCTACTTACTTATAGGGCGTGTAAATTATACACACCTCTGTCAGAGTGTGTTTGTCTGATATAAATAACCTATTAAAATTGTAGAAAATCTCATTTCTATCGACCAAAAAAAACCTATTTATTTAAGTAGTCGTTTGAAAACAAAAATAATCCACAATCATAAGCAATAAATTTTATCGAACATGATAATTACCTACTTGATACTCTCATTACTTTTAATACAGTCATGCAATTCTGGTTCTCAATCATCTTCTAATTGTAAAAGTACGTTTTTTTTGTTGTAAAGAAATCCCTTAACGTTTCATTGTTTATATTTATCCTCTGAAATGATCATTATATATGAAAATAGAATCACTGACCGACAAAGTGACGAGTTTTATGAGGAGAATACTTCGAAAACTTCACTTCTCTTCCTCGACGTTTTATGCTGATGAAAGTTTTTACAAGGACGAAAAGCCGTCAGATAGAAGACATTACAATGATTGTTTTATTTAAAGTACAATCAATAACCTTTAGTTCTGTATCATTAAAACACACAATCAATATTAATTCTACTTAATTACAGAACCAAAGTAAGTAGTTTGTATAAATTAAATATAAAAAATTATTCACAAACTTGAAATATTTCGTTTACTCATATTGAATAATTTTGACAAATAAATTTAATTCATGAAATTTATCTAACTGGTAAGATATATGTATCTATCAATTGTGATTAGTTGTTATGATAGGGTTGTGAAGATTGTTTGGGTTTCATTGAAGTGTAGCTTGATGTGGAAATTATTGAAATTCTAGTGTTAAGTTTTTTCCTAATGAAGCAAAGAAGCAATAAAGGGATAGTGTTGGTATTACTTAACCAATGTGATGAGATGATGACTTTCGAAACTCACTGGTGAATTACAAGTGACGTTACATTGTGATCTCATTCCAAGATTCATGGTAAGATACCTTAACTGAGTAACTGAAACGTTTCCCTGTCGAAGGCAGTGAGTGAAGTTGCGCAGTATTGTGGTTTGATTGATGTTAGACATAAACGCTGTCAGGAATCCGTTGGATAAGTCTATAGGTTAAGATTGAAAGTTTCGAGCTGAATTCTCATGTGGGGCGATTTTGGATACGCCTTGTCACTGATGTGTCATATACGAGGACAAAATGACCATCCAGTTCTTATAGGTTTCTTTCAAATTGTGATCTGACACTGATCGATATATACAACTGCAATGATATTCTGATTACTACTAGTACTACTACAACTACTACTGTAGTGAAGGAGAACACAGGTGGGGCAAGCCAATTGTATTTAACGAAAATTACAGAGTTACTCAGTAATAAAATAGGAAAACCATATGGTAAATCGTTAATTTGCAAAATATAAGTCCATCATATTGAACTGGACTGTTCCTGTTGCAAAACATCAATCCATTGTCACTATTCATGCGTTTCATACAAATTCCATTGTGTTCTAACTCTTCCTTTCTTGATCTTCCTCCATCTTCTGCTGCCAGACATTACGTTGACACTCACGTCATATACTACTTATAAGTAGCTCACACCACACCACTACTACTACTACTACTATGAGATTAGAATTTTTGATTCGGGTTCTCTGTGTGCTAGTGTGGTAAACCAACTTGAACACTGATGTACGTATGTACGCAGTTCCACACTGTTACTCACCGACTGGATTAGATAACTGTGATGGTCATTTCTACTATGTCAATCTGTCAATATATTTATTACTTGATATCAAAGTATTTTCTAAAATCGACCACTTATTTCCATTTTAAAGAAGTGCCTTACTGTAAGTGAAATAATATTAACATGATTTGTGTTTTTGATTGAGAGAAAAACTTATTTAGAATATTGATTATTTCAATGAAATTGAAAAACACAAATGAAATCAAAGTTCGTTTGATTTCAAACTTTGAAAGTTAAGTCATCAGATTAAAACAAAAAATCACCTAAAGAAACTAAGACTTGAGAAACTGGATTATTCGTTAGATAAACATTTTCTGCGATTTCCAATGAACTCATCCAACTTCTAATTCAACCGTAATAATCACAGGATTTGATGTATTGTAGTAAAATTTGGGGACTGTTTGAGTAAGTTATCTGAATATTTTCAGTATATTTTCTTATTCAACTGATATGTGATTTGAGTTCAGTAAGAACCTACTACCCTTTTATGGTTTTAGTGATCGCGATTGAGATACTCTGATAACAATCAACAAAGTCTGGCTAGCGTTTTGAATTAGTTTTTCTGGTTAGCGTTTTTTTCGCAAGTTAGTGTTTGACGGAATGGGGTCGCCAACCCTATGTTCAAACCTCCTCCTTTACCCGGGCTTGGGACCGGCAGTAGACCCGAAGGTTCTACAGGCGGAGTCGCTGTATGCATAAATGGCTAACACCACATAGAGAACACAAGCAAGAGAGATCACTTTACAAGGAACTTGAAAACAGGACAAGTAATACAAAATGAGAATGGTACAATTTTCATAACGAAATTACGAGAGAGAAATGACCTTACAAGGAGACAAAAGCACTGACAACCAATCAGTAAGCATAGATTGGGCAGGAAATCACATTAGAAATCGAAATTCAAACAAGCATGCAAATTTTGTTTTTTTGAAAAGCGTTTCACGATTGTAAATTGACTATAAGTTATTCTTGTGATAATTTTAATAGATCACTTATATTTCTTACGTTTGATTGATTAACAACAGAACAATTATCAGTGTCATTTGGTAAGTTGACTAAACAATGTTATTAGTTCATTTTGAGAAATGTTTCTGCTACACAGTGTACAAATTCTTTTCTGATTTAGTAAATATAAGTATATTGTTAATATTTCAGTATATTCATATATACTTACTTATCGGAATGGAACATAGGCCGTCAGCCAACATTTGAAACCCCACTCTTTCCTGAGACTACTTTTCACGTTCCATCAAATGTCTGTTCTCGATTCTCGATAGAATGTGTTGATTGGTCTTCGTCTTTTCAGGCAGAGTTCTGGATGTTTGTGTTTTTACACATTTGAAATCATCAATCATTCATTGTTAGACCACCATTAGAAACCTGAGAGCACTGGACGGACGTTTCGTCCTGGTATGGGACTCATCAGCAGCGCGTATTCACGACTCCTGGACCTCACAGGATTCGATCCCTGGACCTTCGGTATTGTGCGCGAACGCCTAACCATTGGACCACTAGTCTGACATCCAACGGTGGTAATGTCTAACTCTGGTTGGCCTAGAGATTTTTGCGCGACCTCACCTATTTTTCTTCGGTAGTCACTGCCTACACCCGACAGGGTCGAACTCCATTGGTCACATCTCAACTAGAACTCCGAGAATTTCCTCACGAAGCTAGTCACCAGTGCGCACTGTTACGATATTTTCAGGCAGAGTTTTGGAGGTTTATGTTTTTACACATTTGATATCACCAACCTTTCGGCCGAGTGGTCCGATGGTTAGGCGTTCGCGCACAATACCGAAGGTCCAGGGATCGAATCCTGTGAGGTGCAGGGGTCGTGGATACGCACTGCTAATGAGTCCCATACCAGGACGAGACGGCCATCCTGCAGCGCTTCCAGGTTTCTAACAGTGGTCAGACAGTGATTGACTGATGACTTCATTTTTCGTTTGGTCTTGAGGATTCTGAGTGAGTGCTCATCTTGTAACCCAGTAAGGTTGTTTCCTTAACGTGTGTCGTATCCAGCTGCCATTCTTGATCCCAATTCCTTCTTCAACAGGAGTCTATCTTGTTCTATGGAACAGTAGGTTGTTCCTAATGATTGCTGGCTAATGAATGGCAGACTCATGTGTAAACTACTATGAAGAGATGCATTTGTCTTTCGGATGGTGACTTTTGTAGATCCGCAAGTTTCTGTCTCAGACGATATAACTGTCTTGAAATTCGTATTGAAAATTATGACTTAGATGTTGGTTGACAGTTCTTTTGATTTCCAGACGTTCTTCATTTGAAGAAATACTGCGCAGCCAATGTTTGACTTCATATCTGCATCAAATGCTGCCCCGTTGTACACATTTTTAACAGCTTTCGAATCTTCTACGTATAGTGTGATTCGGCTGGTGAATGCAGCGTTGCATCTAAGGTTCTTCCTATTTCCATCGTGTATGTTGAGACATGCAACTGTAGAGGTTGTTGATAGGCCGGCCGTATTCTCCTGCATTTGTATATGAAGTTCAAATCGTCCGGCAGCTTCGGAGTTGTCCACTGTATTCCTTGTTTCTCCCTAATCCAGTCGATCACTAGGAGAAAGAGGAAGGGTAAAAGTATGAACAACCTTGTCAGTCTTCACTTCATTTACATAAGAATTATTCAATATTTTGAAAAAAATGTATTACACTAAGATTTAAACTGAGTTGTTCGCGCCTTTGAATTCATTCAATATTTAAAATTTTATTAATTTGTTTGTTTTGAATAATATATTTCCTTTGTTTTTTTTACAGTTCCATAAATTCAGTGTGGTAAATAAAATGAAGAATTTTTATTTGATAATTTGTAATGTTTCATTGTAATAAATGAACTGTTAACCTAATATGTATATCTGTTTCAAGCACTTTGGTTATTTTACAGTGAAATCGTGATTTACTCATCATTAGATCATCATTAGACATCTAAAGGTACACGACTCTCGTTTCGTCCTGGTATAGGACTTATCAGTGAAAGAGTGTATTCACAAAGACCTCCGGTTGTGTGCGCAAACGCTTTACCTCTGTATCACCAAGCCAGCATGCGACAATGGTAATGTCTAACTTGGAACAATCTAAGGATTTCACGCAACCTCACCCAATGTCTTCGTTAGTTACTGGCCATAACTGATATTGGTGAACTCTACTGGTCACATCTTCTCACTAGAACTTCAAGAATTTCCACACAAAGCTAATCACTAGTGAGTACATTTTATGATACTTACATCTGAATTGGAGAACACTAATACAATAAAACAGTCACAATTATTTCCTTTCCATAGTGTAGTAGGCTAATTAGACAATAAGACTAAGTGGCATCATTCACGACTAAAAATGGAGAAATGAAATAAAATTTTTGGCAATAGTTTTGTCATTGAGATAACAAGTAATTGACTTCAATGAATCTTTAGCAGAAAATTATTGAGTGAAATGTTTGTTTGTTCGCACTTAGTGGTCAGTCACAACTGTTTTCATTACCATAGATATGTCAGTAAAGCTTGAAACATTTCCATCGACTATTCGGTCGACTTCAGACGAATGATTTTATTTAAAAAAATGTTTCGTTTTAAATAATTATGCAACAAAGTTAATGTGGGCAACTATGTCTGAAGCACTTCTAGGGTTGCTGTCGGTATCGATCCTGATTAGAGGAGGAGGTTTGAGCATGGGATTAGCGACCTCATCCCGAAGAAATCTTACTCATTAAAAACGAAACCGCTAAGAAGAAAAATAATTCAATGGTCAGCGGCGTATGCAAGGGGTACCAGGCGTAAGTGGTAAATAAGTTCATGTATGCTGAGTATTGGCGTGGTTATTGTAACTTTTTGATTTGGGTGTTTGTATACCAATAATCGTACCATTTTCATATTTTAGGAACACATTTATTCATTATCTCGATCTCTACAAAACCTGGACGTCTGCAGGAAATAACTCAAGCTTAGGTAGATAAAAATGCGTTGTATTTTCAATGTAGTAAAACAATATCGACAATTTTTATACGTTATTCTTCACGTAATCATATTATATTTCCTAATATTTGTAAACAACATCTAATCTAAATACCTAAAATATAATTTGAACGATTTTTATTGAAAAAGCACATTGTCTTATTTTTCCATAGATTGATTCCGTATTCCGTTTTAAAACAAATACATGTTTACTTACTTGAGTTTGTGTTCGCTTGTGAAATAAAAGCCATCGATCAACAATCTCTACGCGACTCTCTTCTCTACACATCTATCTACTTATTCCCAATTGTAATTCATTCTTTCGATGTTCACCTTCAAATTCTTAGCGTATATGTAACTTCAGCGTTCGATTAGTTTGCTTCTAGCTAGAAGGTACCTTGTATGCCGGAGGAGGTGGTGTTTGAGGAGCAGTGTATGAGATTATCTGGAAGAAGAAAGAACAAGAGAAAAAGATGAGCTGACGACTTAGTAAGCATTTGTGATGCACTTACATGCGACTGAGGAATAAATAAACAGCAACCAGAAATAAAACCAGCGTGAGATTAAGACAAACTAATAAACGAAACTAGGAGTTGGTTGAGTAAGGTTTCAAATGTATTACATATAGTATTCTTTAGTTTGCCTCTTTTCTTTTGACCTTGGAATCAATTGAAATGATAGGTGAAAAGGCATGTCAGAACACTTGACACAAACTAGTTCAGTTTGATATTTGAATATTTCGGATATATTTACGTAGTGTTTGATGCACCTTCACTTAGCAATTCAATGATTTCAATCTATATTAAACTGTTGGATATGTTAGATCCCTAGAACTCGCTTGATAAATATCTTTGTTTTGGATTTATTTCATGGACTGATCAGTTGACCTTGAGATCACATTTCCCACCGTAAAAACCCTTGACTGTGATTGGTCACTGTGTTATTTTAGTGTGCTATTTTTGTGATTATCCTAAGGACGTCTCTATAGAGTATAAATAAACGCAATTTGAGTGCTTAGATTTGATTGTGTGCTCACTTTGTGTTTGTAGAATACACTTTCTACACTATATCAAAACTTCTTGCTGATACAATTGGGGCAATCGGATCACAGTAGCCTACCTGAACGCTGGTTCACTGTTTTGCTCTCGTTATCAGACCAAGGTGAATCCGTAGTAGTTGAAGTGTACCTAGTGACGAGGATGACATAAATACAGTCATTAAAATTAACTTATTCATCGATTAATTAAGTGTTTACTCTGTAAAACATTTCACATTCATATGTGTGTAATCAATGAGCTAGTGTTTAAACATGTTTTATGGTGGATAAGTTTGATCAAGTCGTAAGGTTGATGAAATTCCCTTAGAATATCACTAGAGATTATTGGAAGATATGTGAAATAATAGGAATATTTGTCCAATGAACGTAAACGTCAAACGATGACATAGTTTATGAACAAAATGTGAACAATAAATCTTTAGATTTTCATTGACAAAATAAACAAATTATTAACTATCGCTTTTCACATATCATCTGATCTTCAAAACCATTTGATTGCCACAAACGTTTTGAATACGACACTTCTTATCGATAATAACTACTGATTGAGATGTTTCGCATGTTGTACACCACACTCAATCCAAGGTGCACTGATATTCATAGTTCTGTAGTGTGTTATTTTGCTGCGTGTTCTAAAGCTCGGTGATTAGCTCGTCTAGACAATCGTGACTAAGTAGCGTCTGACGGTTTAGAAATCAGAAGGTGAACACAAAGTGTTGAATACATTTATTTGGGACACACCACGAAGCGAAGCGGAGAAACAGTTTGGAGAAGGCTAATGAGCCAACTTCCAGAGATAGAGCGTGACTAAGAATATATAGTCAGACAAATATAAGACAGACATGCGACAAGCGAAATAAACACACATGAATAAAAGCGACGAATAGTTGACAAGGTCAAATGACAAGTGAAACACGTCACGTGAGCTTATACAAACCAGACAATAATAAGAACGAATGGTACATATAAATTGTTGCAATACAAATGGCTTGGTTAAATAAATTAATCGGAAGGGCTTAACCAGGTTAGATGTAAACGAACTGGAATATATGTGGAGGCACTACAGTTCTGCTGAACGGTTTGGCCTGTGAACTCAGCTACCAGCTCAACAAATGAGATATACAACGTCTTCTCATTGTGTTAACAAAGACCAATTCGTCCAACGCTGCCCCCACCCAACTCCACAGTAGCGCCTTTCGTACTGTTCACCTCTTTCAGTTCTTTGGCAGCGATACCAAATGTAACAAACAAAGACGTTAAGATCAGAGCATACAGTTTACTAACAAAACTTGTACACTTTATCTGCAGACTTCCATTTGAGAAACAAGTGGCTTTTCGGCTGTCTACTTACACAAGTCTTTTGATCTTCAAAAAACACTTTAATCACTCCATACATTCAAATCCTAAATTTTTCTTACCAGTAGTAATTTCTTGACAAGAATCCTCTTCATACTACTTACAAGACACTGTTTGAGTAGTATCCAAAACACTAGCAATAAGACAAGACAAACACGTAACATTACACAAACATTTCAATATTTGTAGTCATTCGTGATCAAATTGGTTCTTTCAAATTGTAAATGAAAATAATTAGGATGGTGGTCATGTTAAGCGCTAGATTTGAAATAAGAACTATGAAATAGGCGAAAATTGTTCTTGATTTACAAAGATCAGGTTTATAAGTCCATGTCAGTTGAGATCAAAACATTCACTCATAAAATTTCACGTTAGGAAGTTGTGTCTCTAATGTCTTTCCCTAAGTCATAAAAAAACCTACCTTTGTAGTGTTTAGTAGTTAGTTGAATTCAATTTGGTGAACTGTTACAATACTCATATCAGTGAAATGCTTATCAGTCTCATATATCTAAATATTAAAGAGCTATGGAGATTGCTGTTTTTCATTGTTAGACCAGGATTAGAAGCACTCAAAGACCAGACGACCGTTTCTTCCTAGTATGAGAGAAGTCAGCAGGGCAAATCGACGACCTCTTACATCCGGGGATCGAACTCAGGACCATTCGTCACATGTACGAACTCTGAACTTCAACAATACTAAATTGGCATCAAACAGTGTTAATATCTAAATTTTATCGATCTAAAGGTTTTTGCACAACCTCACTTATTGTGTTCGGTAGTTACTGCCCAAACCCGACAGGGATGAACTCCATTGGTCACTAAGCAAATCCTTAAGATTAATAAAAGTTAGATATGAATACCGTGGAATATCTGCTTGGTGATATCGTTATTAAGCGTTCACGCGAGAGACCGAAAGTTTTTGGTTTAATTCTCTCAAGTGGGCGTCGAGGATACTCACTTCTGATGAGTCGCATACTATGAAGACGAAACACTTTTCCAGTGCTTGTATGTTTCTTATAGTGGTCTAACAATGATTGATTCATGATTTCAGTGAGAAAAAATCAATATTGTCCTTGATATTTCTCACACTGATTCAAACTGGACAATTAACCTTCAAACTGATGTGGTCATTTTTTCAATGTCTATTAAACAAACTTTTCTATCATGAGAGATATTGATTAGTACTATGAACTTGTGCCAGTGATTACGTGAGTAACCATATGAAAGTATCACTCAAAAAAGTAACAACTTTGTCAGAGTGTATAGAAACTAGGATAATTAAAGTGTAAATTTGAACTACAGGTCTATAATTATTACTTAACAATAATTTAGCTACGACTTTTTGAGAAGACAGTCAACTATATACAGAATTATTAAGACAAACTTCATTGCAAACTCTTGTATGGAGGACAGCTCATAGATGCATTTTAAGTGAAAACTGATGTCAGAAAAAGGCTGCTTACTCTCACCACTTCTTTTTCTCTTGGTGGTTGACTAGATGATGAAAACTTTGGCCACTCAGTATAAGAAAGAAAGACCGGAAGCTAGATTGATTGGAGTTCGCAGATCATGACAACCGTTTGTCAACCAACTCCAAAGTCAGTATTTCCAATACAAATGTCGAGATAGTCACTCCTATTGTATGAACCGGAAACTTGGAGAGCTATGAAATCCACTACCCATAAGTAGTTTACACAACAGTCTATGATCCATTGGCCAGACACCATCAGTTACAACCTACTAGGTTAGAGGACAAACCAAATTACAGCTAAGCAAGAAGAAATAAGGAAATATCGCCCGAACTGTTTGGGTTCAAATACTCATATGGAAATCACTCAACTGAGTGATAAGACAATCCCTAACATGGAGTCTGGAAGGTAGAAAGTGGAAAAAGGAGACCAACTTGTTGTGTTTGTGCAATATATACAATGACCTTGACGATCGCTAATCACTGTACAGACACGTCAGCCTCTCAATTACCAGCCCCACGGAATAGAGGAAAAAAACAACGACTTGTGAGACAGATCAGATCAGATCGTTTATTATTTCAATCATGCCTTTATATACATGCAAAATCAGACCGCATCGTAAACCAATTAGAAAACTGACATCAATACAAAATAACAGTAATAGTGAGTGTGAACTGGGGTAACGCATAGCAGTCAATTAACTATAGTTCATAAATGAGAAATGATATAACAACAGTTAATGTCTCAAACAAGAGTATAGGATAAGAGCAACGTCACAATAATAGGAATAAAATGCTTACTTTGTATACAACCAAAAATAATGAATCTTAAGCAGAAAAAACTGTTCTAGAAGATAGTAAATCTTCTCTAAGTGCCCGCCATAACACAACTAACATATCACACTGTGATATGTCATGTTCAGCGTTAACTAGACTGTTATTATTTCATGATTGTGTTTCATTATTAATAACCTTGTCAATTGAATAAAAAGGGATAGACTAAATAATGTATGATGTGACGGTTTATTCACAAAAATCTCAATCACCAAACTGAAAGATAATCACAGCGTTTCATCCAGTGGCTTCTATTTCAAGTAATTGAAAATTACAGAAGTGATCATGTGTTTCCCATTAAATAAATTGTATGATGCTATTTGCCAGAATATTTTAGATAACAGGCGAAACTACTTGTTTTTAATAAGTAGTATATAAAATAAATTTGGATATTTAAACATTTTAAAAACATCTGCTTGCGTGAATTCTCAGATGAACAATCTGTCAAGGATTGTTTTCAGTCCTATATATTTATAAATCGTTATTTGGGTATTCCTTCATCTGAGTTGGTGTTTATTAATAGTTTCGACCATTGTGATGCTTGCTTCAAACCCCTGTTCACTATTCACTTAGCCACTAAATCCACAATTTCCTTGAATTTTTCGTTATGGGTCGATGTTTAATACAACTATATTGCTCGTTTGAACCTTCCCGTTGATATTTACTACTTAAGTTAGTCTTTTGCAAAACAGTAATCAAATATAATGAAGCGTGTGTCCTGAATTCTTTTGTTGGTGACCATCTGTTTCCGCTTATATTACTTGTGACCTAGTATCTGTATCGAGGCATTCTTCAGAGAATACTCTTCAGACTATCAGTGGGAAGATTCAGGCGACCTTTACATACGATTTAATCGTTCGGATCTTCTTATGACAAGAAGAAAATTAGATAATGAGCGAAATCAAAGGTGCTGGGTCCGATCCCTGCATTCAGGGATCTAGGATGTGAGCTGCCGATGAGTCACATACTAGTGTAGTGAACGAGTACCAGCACCAACGGGTCACGCCCGTCTTCCCAGCGGCAGCGTCCAGGCTTTCGTAAACCTCCTTCGCCTCGCCTCCCCGCAGCGTCCCCAGCGCCGCCGACCACACCCGGGCCAGCACCAGCTCCGCCGCGGCCTCAAACTCCTCCGCAAATCTCCGTCCTCCAATTCCTTCGACCACGGAAGCTCCTTCCTTCGAGCAGGCAGCGACACCGAATGTAGTGAACGAGAACACGCGTGGGGAAACCAAATTGTACTTACCGAAAATTACAGAGTTACTCAGTAAAATTGGAAAACCATATCGTAAATCGTTCATTTGCAAATTATCAGTTCATCATATCGAACTGGACTGTTCCTGTTGCAAAACATCAATCCATTGTCACTATCCATGCGTTTCATACAAATTCCATTGTGTTCTAACTCTTCCTTTCTTGATCTTCCCCCATCTTCTGCTGCCAGACATTACGTTTACACTCACGTCATATACTACTAATAAGTAGCTCACACCACACTAGGACGAAACGGCAGTCCAATACTTTCATGTTTGCAGTGTTGGTCTAGCATTAATCCATCCATGCGTTTTGAAAGATTAAAATGTATACGGTTCAAAAATTTGAAACTTTTTACAAACCTGATGATGATGATGAACAGGACAACATTAAAAGAGAGGAATTTACAACATTAACAACGAAAAAATACTGGTAAATTAAGATATTTTTAAAAATCTTAAAATCAAATAAAAACATTTTGAAATAGTTTACAATGCACCTGACATTGCTTTTGATTAGGAAAATATCACGTGATAAAATGATGAGAAATACAATTTACAGATGGATTCATCATGTCTAAGTGAATAAACAAGGTTGTTTTCAAGATGGACACTTGTCACAAGTTAATCAGTTGAATTTTACAAACTGATCTCATTTATACGATCGCTAGAAATTAACAAGTATTGAACAGAGATCTTTTTCTAGTACAGGACTCATCATCAAAGTGCATCCTCGAACATGCGCAAGCCGGTCGAACTCAGAACCTACATTCTCGTGCATGAATGCTTAACTTCTTGAGATGGTGGAGAAGATTTGTAGCTCAGGTGGATGATTATGGTGGTGGTGTTTGACTGCTAAGTGGTGTCCACGTAAACGGAGCTGAAGAGGCTGTCCACTTTGTCCTATGTAGTGTTTTTCACAATCTGAGCAATTTATTTTTTAGATAATATTTGGTTTTTCTTCTTTTGTCATTTTGTCCTTTAGTGTTTACAAAGGATTGATTGAAGTGATTCTGTTGGTTTGTGTGCCACAGCTATTCCAAATGGTTTCAGTAGTCGTGCTGTATGCTTAACTTCTAGACCAGTTGTGGTAATGTCTAACTTTAATGAATCTTCGGAATCGTGCGAACATCATCCATAGTCTTTGGTAGATAACTACCTCATATCATAAACGGTTGACCTCCACATTTTCACGGCTTCACACTAAAACTCCGAGAATTTCCCCACGAAAATGATCATTAGTTAGCACATGATAATTTTCATTTCAGGTTTGTGACCATCGTTCAGTAACATTGAAATCATGAATCAATCAGTGTTAGTCTTGGATTCAATTTCTGTGTCCAAGAGTTGTTGATGAGCACTGTTGCTGAATCCCGTAGTAGGACGAAACAGCCATTCAGTTCTTGTGGGTTTACGAATGGTTGCCTAGCACTGACTGATTCATAAGTTCAATGGAATTCTAAAGTTCTCCTGAAAATCCCCATCATCGAGCTTGATTATTGTATATTCTAGTTCTATTGAACGAAAAATATAAGGTTTTATAACCCTTCTTAGTTTTAAGTGATATGTCAACTCAGCTTGATGATCATTAGATTCCCATAAGCAATAAATTGCCGTTTTGTTCAAGTATGAAACTCATTAGTAATGCTCATTCACAACACTGATACATAAAAATGGAACCCAAGACTAACATCGATCGATTCATGATTTCAATGAAACTCAACAATCTCCACAGACCTACAGTGAAAATGTCTCATGTGCTAACTAGTGATCAGTTTTGTGGGGAAATTCTCGGAATTCCAATGAAAAGCCTTGACAGGTGGAGTTCAACCATATTGGATATGAGGCAATTATCCACCAAGGACAACAGATGATGTTCTCATGATACCGTGTACTGACTGATGTTGGACAGCGGTTTGCATCCATAAGCTTGCACAAAAGGATCGAACCTAGGAACTTCCAACCAGCGAATGAACGCCTAAACTTAAAGACCAATAAGTCAGTATCCATTAGTTACACATTCTTGAAACCATGAATCGATCAATGTTAGACCACCATTAGAAACTTGGAAGCACTGGACGACCGTTTCGTTCTGGTAGGGGACTCCTCAGCAGTGCGCATCCTCGACTCCTGTGCCCTGCAGGATTCGAAGCCAGAACCTTCGGTACTGTAGACGAACTCCTAACCATCGGATCACTGAGCCGGTACCTAACGGTGTTAATGTCTGACTTGATCAATTCACGGTTTCAAAAATGTCTAACTTAACAATCTTCACAACCCCGTAATGCAAATTACCTGTGCTCACTAGTGACTAGCTTCGTGAGGAATCTTCTCCGAGTTCTAGTGAGAAGACGTGACCAGTGAAGTTCAACCTATTCGGGTGTAGACAGTAACTACCCGAAGACTGTGGTGTATGAGGTTGCGCAACTCCATGAATTGACCAAGTTAGACATTGAAACCGTTGAGGACCGGCTCAGTGATCCGATGGTTAGGCGTTCGCGCATAATACCGAAGCTCCTGGGTTGGAATCCTGCAGGGTGCAGGAGTCGAGGAGTCCCATAGCACGACGAAACGGTTGAAAAGTGCTTCCAGGTTTCTAATGTTGGTCTAACATTGATCAATTCACGGTTCCAAAATTTTTATAACTTAACAAACTTCACAACCCTGTAATGCAAAGTATCGATTAATATGTCACTAATATCTAACTTTATTCAACTCATGATGTTATTACTCAACCTGTTTTTTTTTTGATTCATTTCAATCAACTTGCTTTCAAAATTTCATGTTTGTTTTTTAATTTTATTTTATAAATAATCACAATGTGAAACAATGTGATTATAGTCATTAACTTGTCTTTTTTCTGTAGATGACAAGAAAGTTTTACAAAAAACAAATTGTTGAATACATCCTTTTTTCATTATTAACAACAAAAACAAGTTGAATTCACATGTAGGTACATGTTATAGTGCTTTGGATTTTTACATGTATATATATATATACATGACAAATAAAGAAGTCATTTTATTTTTAAGCTGCAAAATGAATTCTTTGCTATTAGTGATTTTTTTAATCTTATTCGAATGTACACTGATGAATGTAACTGAGAGTAGTGGATGTAAGTTGATATTGGTTTTATATATTCATTCTGTATATTGCTTAACCATTTTTTAAATTGAAGATGACCAGATTTTTATACAGTATGATGGATACTAATTAAAATGTGATTTATGAGTATTAGCATGCACTATCGGAAAGAAAAGTGTCAGATCGTGACAGATGACACGATCAAAATTTTAATCATCAACGAACAACAATCTTCAAAAGTCTATGATTAGAAATCTTACAAATTGTCGGAGTTCTAGTGAGAAGTGGTGACCAGTGAAGTTCATTCTTGTTGTTTGTTGGTAGTAACTACCGAACACAATGGATGAGGTTGTGAAAAAATCCTTAGATTTACATTAACACAGTAGGATGCCACAAGGCTTACTGATAGAGAGGTTAGGTGTTCACGCTCAAGATCGAATCGTGCAAGTAGTAGGAGTAGAAGATACGCATTGCTAATGAGTCCCGTACTAGGAAGAAACGTTCATTCAGTGCTTGTGTGTTTCTTATGGTAGTCTAACAATACCTAATTCATGATTGATTCAAGAATAAGCAATTATTGTGTTTTTAAGATCGGATGACAATTTGAAGATTTATTGTACACAATTCGTTAGTAAACTATATCTTCGCCTAATATGCAACTGTCCCATCTGATCTTAAACTGTTCGTTCATTATGACAGTTTGGTGCGTAGCATCATGAACTGATTGAAATTAGATTTTAATACCGTTGGATGCTGAGTTCGAAGGTCCAATGTTCAGTGCTCTCGTACGAGATAGTGAGTGCACACTGCTGACGAACCCCACACTGGAGGGAAAAATGGCCGTCCACACTTCCCGGGTTTCTAATGATGGTCTAGCTTAGATTCAGTCAATCAATGAGCCAATCAGTAGCAACGTAGAACTTCGTACGTACGTACGTACATTCGTTCATGTTACTATACTACATTATCACAGAGACCTAATTGTCAATTCAAATCCCACAGTAGTAGAGATAGTAGAAGTATAAGCAGTAATCAACGAGATTATGGTTCGAAGATATCATTCAAGAAGTAGAATCTAGTGAAATAAACTTAAAAAGTGAAAGATAAAGGTGATGAAGAATTCAGAAGGTTGGAATTTGGGAGAAGCCAAAGAATGAATGCACAAGTGCCACCGCAAACGGTTTTCAGCCATGTCAATCAGAGTTTCTACGCATCGATTACTACTACAGGACCCAGTCAGTCTAGCTAAGATTAATTTGTTTTAATTTTATGAATAAAGTGTTTGTATATTTATATAAAGGACAATCATGGTACTATTTGGATTGAAGTCAAGATTTCAGATCAGACTGAATTATATTACTAAAATTATTTACCAAAGATATTATGATCGTAGTTGTACATTAGTGGTTGTAACGAATATGTTATAGATGAGAAATATTTTTCTGAATTACACTTTTTTTATAAATATGTTTTAGCTTTTAAGAAAAAGGAGGCAACTACGTAAGTGTGAATAATTGAAATAAAATGTTTAATCTTTTATCTTTTTTTCTACACATCTGTGTGCACTTTTTACTAGTTTTGTGGATACTACTCACAAGGTGTCATTTAAGTAGTATGCAGTGGAGTATATGTTAGACGTTTCTTCAAGAGTAGTGTATTGAAGGCCAGAAAGGGAAAAATGTCTAAAATCCTGTCTGCATTGCAAAAAGATGTTTATTGAATAATTAAACATGTATTTTAAATTAGGTTGTTTCCCTCAAACGTACGTACAACATCTGCTCTTAGCATCTTTGTGTGGTACTGTCGAGAAAATTTATTCAAAATAAGTAGTGATGTTATGTAATTTCCTTAAATCACGTCAAAAAATGAATGACATCATGTCTGTTGAGGGAAAATATGAAGCTTGTATTTTGCGAACAAATCATTGATTGTGTTAAGGATGGTTGGCGGTTGGTCAGAAAAAATATATATATGCTCCGCTCTAGTCTAATCATCTTCATTTGTCACACTGGAAACTGGTTGAATGAAGTTACTGCTCGCTCATGTAAATTGTGATTTACGCTGATGAATAAAGTTTGTCCATTCAACTAGATTCCTAAAAACCTTTCAAGTTACATTTCTCTGATTACAGTGTATTACTGTTAGTGGTCAAACACATCATATCAAATCTGAAATGTTTCGACTGAGAACTTATGCATCACATCAGTCCAAAAGTTTTGGCAATTCTATACATAGAAAAATCAACGATTTTATTTTTAAAAATAGCCAATGAACTAGAAAAATTTAGTTCAGAGGTTCAACGAAATCTTACGTCTCATTTTGCTTAGTTTATTCACAATCTCTTTAACTCGGTAAAGTTTCGTTCTCTGAACTAGATATTTTGGTTGTGAGGCATTCATTGTTCTTCTGTACAAAATTATCAGCACAAACTTCAGTTAGAAGTGAAGTTTTCAAATTTTCCCACATTTACCCTACAGCCTGTTATGTTGACCTCAACAACTCTGAATATTAAAGAGAGATAGATAACCACTAATCAGTAGTGAGTTCAACAGAACAAGCTACATGTAGAGAACCTGAATTGTGTGCTGATGATGTTGTTCAGTGGACCAATGAAATCTTCACTAACAAAACATTCAGCTAAGAGTACAAAACTCCATCGTGATCATCCACTTCAGCTACGAATTTTCTCCAGTCACCTCAGAATTTTTATTTGCATATAGAAACTAACAAGTGAAAATTATGTTTTTATCGTTAACTGTATGATTCTGTATTGATAGAACCACTGTACAACCTAGCGGTAAGTTGAAAGAAATCTTGAGGGAAAAAATTATTATCAACATTTTCTTCACTAATCTTTACACATTAGTATTACATGTTCTATCAACTATGATGACATATAGATACATTCAACTGACGAGTGCCGAACAAAACGAAACATTCAGCGTGTATTCCATCTATGTCCAATTAACAGCCCTAATAGATGTAATCCTTCTTATCTATCTATCTATCTATCTATCTATCTATCTATCTATCTATCTATCTATCTATCTATCTATCTATCTATCTATCTATCTATCTATCTATCTATCTATCTATCTATCTATCTATCTATCTATCTATCTATCTATCTATCTAAGACAGTCTCGTCACTTGAATGGTATACCATAGATAATGAATGTGTCATCTATGTGACATCTGTAGAATTTTAATTTGCTAGAAGTAACGTTAATGAGTTCATTTTGTTGAGTTTAATTAAAATCATAAATCGATAAATGTTAGACTAGTGTTAAAAACTTGAAAGCGTTAGATGACCGTTTTATATCACAGCAAAATGACTCATCAGTAGTGTATATCCCTAACCCAGCGAACGAACGAATCAATTTCAGGACCTTGGGTCTTGCGTATGAACGATTAACTTACTGGTGAATAACACCGTGAGGGAAACCCTTAGAGTTCTAGTAAGAAACTTTTACCGTTGGAGTTCCTTCGTGTTAAAACCATTGATGAGGTTGTGTAATGTCTTGCATTGACTGAAGTTTGACATAAACACCGTTGGATGCCGGCTAAATGGTCTAATGTTTAAGCGTTTGCCTGCGACACCGAAGATCGTGGCTTTGATTCCTCTGTGCGTTGGTCTTCCGTGCGCATTCTTGAATAATAATAAGAAACAGCTTTTTTCTGGTACTGGTGTTCTTCTGATGGCGTTCGCGCACAAGACCGAATCTAGCAAGTAGTAGATACGGTAGTAGTTACGCATTACTGATGAGTCCACTCAGTAGTTTAACAATAACTGATTCAAGATTTCAATCATAAGCAATTAATGTGTTTTTAAGATCAGATAACATATGATTGGATTGTATTGAAAGTGAAAATTTGAAGATTCGGTTTACACATTTCATTAGTAAACTATATCTTCGCCTAATATGCTACGATCCCATTTGGTCTTAAACTGTTCGTTCATTATGACAGTTTGATGCTCAGCATCGTGAATTGATTGAGGTTAGATTTTATATCATTGGATGCTGACTGTATGGTCTAGAGGTTAAGCAGCCATTCATGATTTCGAATGTTCTATGCTCAATGGTCTCGTACAAGATAGTGAGTGCACACTGCTGACGAACACCACACTGGAGGGAAAAATGGCCGTCCACAGTTTCCGGGTATCTAATGATGGTCTAGCTTAGATTCAGTCAATCAATCAATCAATCAATAGCAACGCAGAACTTCGTACTTACGTACGTACATTAGTTCATGTTGACATACTACATGAGCACAGAGATGCAGTTGTCAATTTAAATCCCATAGTAGTAGAGATAGTAGAAGTATAAACAGTAATCAAAGAGATTACGGTTCGAAGATATTATTCAAGAAGTAGATTCCAGTAAATTAAACTTAAAAAAAAAGATAAAGATGATGAGAAATTCAGAAGATTGGGATTTGAGAGAACACAAAGAATGAATGCACCTGCGCCATTTCAAACGGTTTAGTGCCATGTCATTCAGCGGTTCTAACCATCGATTGCTATCATCTTGCTGGACCCAACCAGTCTAACTTAGATTAATTTGTTTTAATTTTAGTGAACAAAAGTGTTCGCATATTCATATAAAGGACAATCATGGTACTTTTTGGACTGAAGCCCAGATTTCCGATCAGACATAAATAATATTACTAAAATTGTTTACTAAAGGTATTTTGATCGGAATTGTACATTAGTGGTTGTTGCAAATATTTTATCAATCAGAAATATTTTTCTCTTTTAAAAAAATATGCTTTAGCTTTTGGGAGACGGGAGGCACCTACGTAAGTGTAAAATTCTTGAATAAATGGTTTAATCTTTTCGTTTTATCCGCACATCTGCATGTCATTTTTACTAGTTTTATGGATACTACTCACAAGGTATCATTTAAGTAGTATGCAGTGGATAATAGGCTAGACGTTTCTTCAAGAGTAGTGTATTGAAGGTCAAAAAGGAAAAAATGTCTAAAATCCTATCTGCGCTGCAAAAAGATGTTTATTGAATAATTATACATCTATTGTCAATAAGCATGTTTCGTTCAAACGTACATATTACATCGGCGCTTAGCGTTTTTGTGTTGTACTGTCGAGAAAATTTATTCAAAATAAGTAGTGATGTCATGTCAAATCATTAAATCACGTCAAAAAGATGAATGATATCATGTGTGTTGAGGGAAAATACGAAGCTTGTATTTTGCGGACAAAGTTTTGATTGTACTAGGGATGGTTGGTAGTTGATCAGTAGGGATACGTTTGATCTAGGTTGTATGTTATTTGAAATAGTTTGACTAAGTATAAATGTAAACTCTAGAGATTTAGTGACTTTCGTAAGCAAACTGTATTCTCTTTAGCAATATATATATATATATATATATATATATATATATATATATATATATATATATTCCAATCTAGTCTAGGCGTCTTCCTTTGTAACACTGATAACTGGTCGGATAAAGTTACCGTAAGCTCATGTAAATTGTCATTTACACTGATGAATAATGTTTGTTCATTCAACTGGATTCCTAAAAACTCTACAAGTTACATTTCTCTGATTAAAGTGTGGTCAAAGAGATTATATCCAATCTGAAATGTTTCGACTGAGAACTTATGCATCACATCAGTCCAAAAGTTTTGGAAATTCTATACGCAGATATAAATCAACGTTTTTATTTTTAAAAATAGCCTATGAACTAAAAAATTTCGTTGGGAGGTTCAACGAAATCTTACGTCTCATTTTGCTTAGTTTATTCGCAATCTCTTTAACTCCGTAAACTTTTGTTCTTTGAACTAGATGTTTTGGTTGTGAAGCTTTCATTGTTCTTCTGAACAACATTATCGAAACAAATTTTAGTTAGAGGTGAAGTTTTCGACTATTCCCACATTTACCCAACAGCCTATTCTGTTGACTTCAACAACTCTGAATATTAAAGATAGATATATAACCATTAATCAGTAGTGAGGTCAACAGGACAAGCTACATGTCTGTGCTGATGATGTTGTTCAGTGGAACAATGAAATATCCACTAACAAAACATTCAGCTAAGTGAACAAAACTCCATCATAATCATTCACTTGAGCTACGAAGTTTCTCCAATCACCTCAAATTTTTACTTGTCTATAGAAAATAACAAGTGAAACATATGCTTTTCTGGTAATTTCTGCATTGATAGAACCACTGTACAACCTAGCGGTAAGTTGAAAGAAATTTCTAGAGAAAAAATTATTATCAACATTTTCTTCACTTATCTTTACAATTAGTATTACATATTCTATCAACTATCAGATAAAGGTTCATTCAACTGACAAGTCCCGAACAAATCGAAACATTCAGCGTGTATTCCATCCCACTAACAGCCTTAATTAATGTAATCCTTCCTATCTAATTAGCAACTTAAAGTTTCATGAAAAAAAATTTATGTTGCAGTTGATGTTAAAATAATAATAATTACAATAAAACTCTTGCAAACTGATGTGAGGGCGTGGATAGGCAAAGCAAGGGCTGCATTTCTACAGTTGAAAAATATCTGGAACTCCAAACAACTTTCAACCAAAACCAAAATCAGGATTTTCAATACAAATGTCAAGACAGTTCTACTGTATGGAGCGGGAAACTTCGAGAACTATCAAAGCCATCATCTAGAAGATACAGGTATTTATGAACAGTTTTCTACGCAAAATACTTCAAATTCGTTGGCCAGACAGCATCAGCTATAAACAACTGTAGGAGAGATCAAACCAGATTCCAGTGGAGGAGGAAATCAAGAAGAAGCGGTGGAAGTGTATCAGACACGGTTAACGATACGCAGCCAACTGCGTCACAAGGCAATCACTCACTTGGAACTCTCAAGAACAAAGGAAAAGAGGAAGACCAAGGAACACATTACGCCGAGAAATAGAGAAAGACATGAAAAGAATGAACAAAAATTGGACAGAGGACAGAGTTAGTTGGAGAAATCTGGTGGGTGGCCTATGTTCCATTGGGGGTAACAGTCGTAAGTAGGTTTAGCAAACATTCTTGTCACTTGAATGGTATACCATAGATATTGAATGTGTCATGTACGTGATAACGTCTACGAGTTCATTTTGTTGAGTTTAATTAAAATCATAAATCGATAAATGTTAGACTAGTGTTAAAAACTTGAAAGCGTTAGATGACCGTTTTATATCACAGCAAAATGACTCATCAGTAGTGTATATCCCTAACGGTGGCAACGAAGGAATGGAGCCTTGGACCTTGGGTCTCGCACGTGAACGATTAACTTACTAGTGAATAGCTTCATGAAGAAACTGTAGTGTGTAGATGATTTTCAACTTCAAATACTTTGCTCCTTTTATACAGTTTCAACTAACGAAGGTAACCCAAGAGAACCTCCTCCGTAAGTAAAGGTTATTTAATAAGTTTTTTTAAAACTTAGAAATTAAACGTTTTACTACCTAAAAGAATGAAAACTGAACCTTAGTTATTTATTAACTAATTAGTGTGTAGTGAACGAGAACACAAGTGGGGCAACCGAATTGTACTTAACGATAATTACAGAGTTACTCAGTAAAATCGGAACACCATATCGTAAATCGTTAATTTGCAAAATATCAATCAGTTCATCATATCGAACTGGACTGTTCCTGTTGCAAAACATCACTCGATTGTCACTATTCATGCGTTTCATACAAATTCCATTGTTTTCTAACTCTTCCTTTCTTGATCTTCCCCCATATTCTGCTGCCAGACATTACGTTGAAACTCACGTCATATACTACTTATAAGTAGCTCACACCACAGGTGTATTAAACACCGTCTAGAGACGTATTGCACATTTAACAAAAATCAATGAGAAAGACATAGTTGATCAGGAGGATAAGTTTGTGATGTATTTGCAACATACATTTCAAACAGTCTAGTCAGATATATGTCAAAGGTATATCATATGAAAATCAGAGGTCAATGCTCTTTTTAAATAAACAATTGATCGTGACCCTGAATTTACCTTGGTAATCTTCAAACCATTTTATGGCCTAGGGCAGTGTGATAACTTCGTGTTCTTTCTGTGTAACGTTAATTTTTTGTACCCGTTAATTGTACAGTGAAATCTTGTCTTATTTATCGTTAGACAACAAGTAGAAACAAGCAAGCACAGGACAGCCGTATAGTCCTGGTATGAGAATTATCAACAGCGCGCAACCACAACTCCTGCTGCTTGCAACATGCTGACATAATGGTCCAGAAGTTCAGAGTTCCTATACACTTTGAACTTATTCTTCGTTTACGGAATATTTACAAGATGGTTGTATGCCGTAAAATAAGAAACATTTCGCAGGAAATCTCTAGTGAAAAATCTTCACTATAACCAAACATTTCTGAACGGCATTATGTCAGCATTCCGATTACTTATTCATTGCGATTTAAATAATCCACCAGAAATTAACCTTGAACTGTTTACTTTGACTAACAATTCGATTAGCCCATATCGTGGTGACCTGTGAGTAATTTAACTATTTATTTTAATGCTGTGTTATAGCTAACAGTTTTTCGAATGCGCATATATATATATATATATATATATATATATATATATATACATATATATATATATATATATATACATATATATATATATATATATATATATATATATATATTGGTTTTAGTTCAATAATGCATATACCTTCATAAAACTGTAGTTTAAATATTTTCTTTTACACATTCAACAATTAGCGTGACTCGAGATCAATAGTGAGTTATTGATCATCATTTCATAAATTGAACAATGAATATTATTTTTTGGAATATAAATTTAAACAATTGTGGTTTAGTTCAATTTGAAATGGCATGGATTATGGTGTGAATGATTTTTGTGAAAAATTCAATCACATACCTGTAGGACAAGTGAACAGCTGATTAGATAAAACAGTGGGTTCGAGTTGAAGAGTGAGTATCCACTGTAAGACGTGGTAGGTACATCCAGTTCGCGGAATAGGATGGAACACGTTTCCTGGATTCGAATTCCAGTCACATTCATACTATTTAAGATGAGTCCGTGGCTGGATACACTTGTATCATCTCAAAGTTGACGTTCATTCAGTCACTCGAAATCAGTACTGTTAGGAATTCTACTGCTACTCACAATCTGTCTATTCTAAGTGAACTTGCTTCCTAATCAAAATGTCAACAGTGTGATGTAAGATAGAAATGGTTGAGATTTATCTGCATTAGGACCATTATCAATCAGATGGGCCAAGATAGACCTGCGCATTATTTTAACCTGGCCCTTCTACTGGGGACGTTAGATCCCCAAAACTCAATGGGCTAAGGTCCTAATTTTCTAGTTTATTCTGAAATTTTTGAATTTTTACGTTTTCGCGCCAATGACGCTTAGTTGACCTTCAGATTACATTTCCCACTTGGAAAATCTTTGACTGTCTTTGGTTGATGGATTATTTTTAGTACGCTATAGTGTCACTGTATTGTTGACCTTTGTTCTGTTTACCGAGTAAGGTGAACTCGAAATAGCTTACAAGCATATCAATTGGCGAGTATATCACCTTCATAAACTATGCTGGGAGATGTTGGTTGTATGCCGAATATAGCTACCTCCACAAGAGCAGCTCAAGAAAGTCAAGGCAAGAATATCTGCAAAAAATATTCTACTAAATGCATTTTATTAATCCATCTTGCCAGGTATCGCTAGTTACATTCTAAATTCATCTGCCTCTGTAGTGTAACGATTTACTGCGTGTTCTTAAGCTCGGTAATTAGCTCGTCCAGACAATCATTACTAACCAGCGTCTGACGGTTAATAAATCAGCAGTTAAACTCGTAGTGTTGAATACGTTTATTTTGGACACACTACAAAGCGAAGCGGAGAAGCAATGAATAAAACGAATGAAGCGACGTGAATTGGAGAAGGCTGTTGAGCCAACTCCAAGAGATAGAGCATGACTAAGAATATATAGTCAGACAAAAAATAAGACAGACATGTGACAAGCGAAATAGGCATGCACACACATGAATAGAAGCGACAAGGTCAAAAGCAAGCGTTAAAAATCATGTGAGTTCATAGGGATATTAAGAGATTAGAAACTCTACGGAAATACCTACGCCGGGTGTACTAACTAACTACACCAGGCAAATTAACATAACGAATAAGTGAATCTATATGAATAGATATTTAAAACTTGTTTAAAGCAACAGTTTTATGTGATTATAATTAGAAAAAGGTCATTTACACTGATTCATTTTCATTTTTATTTGTGTGTGTGTGTGAATGAATTATTTAGTGAAGATTTACGACCACGTGATTAACATGGAGAATTTGAAACGAGTACAGAGTGATGACAGAATACATAATCTATCGATCGACATGCCACGTTAACATCATTTGTACTAGTTGCTACAGAATAAAATACATTTAGATTTTTATTCAATTACATCATACTTTTTCATTTCATTAATTCAATGCTGGGACGGTAGAGAAAGTTTATAGTTCAGTTTGAATGAGATTATGGCACGGATTTGTTCTTTGAACTGGATGGTTTAGTTGTGGAAAAGTTATACTGATTACTAGGTATGCTTAAAACTATTACGTGTTCCCCGTAGTCAATAAACAAGAATGAGACAATGAACCAGCATCCAGATAGGCTACGTTTATCCATTGACCCAAACGAACCTAACGAGAAGTCTTGATTTGGCTTAGAAAGTGTATTCTACAAACACTCAGCAATTACAATGATCTCAAGCACATAAATCGCGTTTATTTACATATCAAAGAAATGTCCTTGGAACAGTCAAAAAAATAGCACACTAAAATAACACAGTGACCAATCACAGCCAAGGATTTTCCTGTTGGGAAGTGAAAGCTCAAGGTCAGCTGATCGGCCCACGCTCGAGTGAGTTCTGTGGATCTAACATCCCCAACAAAAAAGAACAATGAAAGGCTCCTGTTGGGGATGATAGATCACCAAAACTCACTTGATAAAGGTCCTAATTTTGGATTTGATGTTTTCAAGCATGGGATGATCAGTTGACCTTGAGATTACGTTTCCCACCAGGAAAATCCTTGGCTGTCATTGGTTGATGTGTTATTTTAGTGCGCTATTTTTGTGACTGTCCTAAGGACGTTTCTATCATGTATAAATAAACGCAATTTGTGTGCTTGTCGACCACTTATTTTCTGGGTGCTTGTAAAATACACTTTCTACGCTATATAAAGACTTCTCCTTCTATTGAGTGGAGCCTTGGGACGCCAGGATTAGAGTAACCTATCATGTCATTTGATTGTTTGTCTTCTATCTCGTTTATCGACTAAGGTGAACTCGTAATAGTTTTAAGCATATCAATCAACTGACGGGCACAACATTCTTCTCCGGAACAACAATGTCATCAACACAAACGTCAGGTAGATTGAAATGAACTATTCGCATTTTTCACGTATATATACAAATATATAATTCTTATATGAATTCCGTCTATACGACAGCAGCAGTAAGAAGTCAAATAGGGATTCGGCTGGATGAATTTATTTCAAACAATCGTCCATCTAAACATACATGAGAATACCAAGTGTAAAGACAAAATGAAGAGCAATGGAAAAGGTGACTGGATTTCGTTTGAGTATATCAATTAAGAATCCAATCATCTATTAAAATGTAGTTGTTTTTTTCTATGGCCCGTGTTCACATATCAAAAGTAAATCCAAAATATATCAATGTGAAATATGGAGAGATTTTAAATGGATACTTGAATTCAATCACTTTTTGTTATGATACAATCGAATGTCAATCATACGTAAACTAGACTTTGTGTCATTTGTTGATTGCACTTAAGGCAGTCGTACTGTCAACAGTAATATCAAAGAACACGGAAGTAACTTTCGGTCTGTCAACTGATGACTTACTTACTTAATTAATTAATTTCGCCTGTTACCCCCAATGAAACATAGGCGGCTCACCAGTTTTATCCAACCAACACTGTTCTGGGCTTCCGATTCTAGTTCTTTCCAGGTTTTGTTCATTCTTCTTATGTCTTTCGCTATTTCTCGGCGTAATGTGTTCACATGGCCTTCCTTTTTTCCTCTGACCATGAGGGTTTCATGTGAGGGCTTGTCTTGTGAGGCACTCCTGTGCTTTTCACAGTGTGTGTCCGATCCACTTCCAACGCTTCTTCCTGATTTCCTCCTCCACTAGAATCTGGTTTGTTTTCTCTCACAGAACGTTGTTGCTGATGGTGTCTGGCCAACGAATTTGAAGTATTTTGCGAAGACAACTGTTAATAAACACTTGTATCTTCTGGATGATGGCTTTGGTAGTTCTCCATGTTTCCGCTCTATACAGTAGAACTGTCTTGACATTTGTATTGAAAATCCTGATTTTGGTTTTGGTTGAAAGTTGTGTGGAGTTCCAGAAATTTTTCAACTGTAGAAATGCAACCCTTGCTTTGCCTATCCGCGCCCTCTCATCTGCATCGGATCCACCTTTGTTGTCGATGATCCTGCCAAGATATGTAAAGGTGTTAACGTCCTCCAAGGCATCCCCTGTTAACTGATGAGTTCGGTACATATTCCACGTATGTTCGATTAGATTCCCGAAGTCGTCTTCTTCATATGAAGCATTGCATCTTTACTGCCTTGATATCACGTCAATACATTCAACATTCGTTTCGGTGCAATATTTGTCCTGTCTTTTTGTATATACTGGGACTCGTTTTCAGTTAAGTTCAACCCATAAAACTGGTTTATCTCGAGATAAGATGATGAACTGAAGTGAACATATCACGTTTCACCGTATAACTGAGAGCTTCGTATTCGTTCATCTTGTGATTCATCAGAGTTTAGAATGAATTTCATGATAAGACAGAATTTACTTGATTGTTTCACAACAATAATTGTTCAGTAGCTTGTTGTTATCAGTTATGAGTGGTCGCAACGCACAAGGTGATTTTTAAATCATTCTGTAATCCCTTCAGCTAACAATTATCTTGTTTTCTAACATGAAGATGTATATTAAAACCAACCAATTTGAAAGCTGTAAATACATCAGTTTTTTCTTGTGTTCTAAGCTCGTGGTCTTTCTGTCTTATACAAAACTACTTAATATCACTTAGTAGTTTAGATTATATCATTAGAAGTACTGGGCAATGCAGAGTTTGTAGAGTTCTATCCGAGAATGATTATCCTTAGAATGAATAATTTTGATCTCTTTCACTTATTTACTGACTTACTTACTTAATTAATTAATCAATTACACCTTTCACCATCAATCGACCATTGGACACTGACTAGTATTCTTCAGCCTACTCTGTCCTAGGCCTGCCTCCCTATTTCCATCCAGTTGTTGTTCATGCGACTCACATCAGCCTCTTTTTCCCGGCCTAGTGAGTTCTTTGGCCTTCCTCTTTTCCTTTGGTTTGGAGGATTCCAAGTGAGGACTTGTCTTGTGACTTAGTTAGGTGCTTTCCTCAATGTGTGTCCTATCTATCTTCTGGTTCCTCTGTATGATATGGTCCTTCGCAAGAATCTAGTTTGTTCTCTCCTATAGTAGGTTGTTGCTGGTAGTGTCCGGCCAGCGAATACGAAGTATTTTTCATAAACAACTGTTCATGAACGCTGATATCTTCTGGATTTGCAAAATGTAGTTTGACTATAATCAAAATGTAGACCAGAGAAATTAAAGTCATGGTTTTATTTATTAAACTCACTGTCAAGTGAATCAATATTTTCTATCCTCATTCTCTTAAAATCGCATACTCATTTTGCACTCATATTTCTACTACTTACTGATATTCAGTAGTCACAATTAATTCTGATAACTTTAGATTATTGAGTTTAAATTCACAAAGCTTTAAACTTAACAAAAGTTGTTATTTTAGTCTATAAATGAATGTCTTAAGCTTTAACAAATGAGTAGACATGATTTGATGCTTGTGATAGCCCCGTTTGTGAGACGGCAGTAGTAGGGAGTTCAATACCGGATCCAATTGGGTGAGTTAACTTCAGCCAATCGTTCATCCAGACAAATATGAGACTTCGAAGAGTAATCGAATCGGATTGGAAAATGCAAGCGGACTAACTTGATTTGACGAGGCATGATTAGATACTTATAATCAGACAAAATTAAGCTGGACATGTGATAAGCAAAGTAAGCAATCCACACAGACGCATCCAAGTCAATACAACAAGAGGTTAAGCGTACGCTCACACGACAGAAGGTCCTGGGTTCAAATCATGCTAGTAGCAGGAGTCATGAAACTACATTCCCATGCTCCAAGGTTTCTACTGTGGTTGTCTCACAATGATTCATTCATGATTTCATTGTAAAACATACTAGTATATTTCACAGTCAAATATAACGAAGGTTATAAGCGAATAATTAACAAGGTCAAAAGATGCGTGGATAAGAAAGTTTTCGTTTCAAATTCTATCGTTCACAAGTCTACAGCCATTTCAACTGAACTTTTTAAAATGAAAACTGCATTTCCATAAGCAATAATCAATAATTTGTAGGAAAAATTTAAAGAGAACAGCCGAAAATCCCAGAGCAATACAGATATCGTAAGTTGGAAAATTTCGCCAACGTTTTTCAGCTCAATACAATGTAGTTTCGCTGAGGAAATAAAACAGAAAAAACACTATTTGAAAAATGTAATTTATATAATGTAAACTGCCAAATCAAACTATGGATAGTTACATTAATAAATCTGTCTGATTGGATTTTGCAGTAATATAAATTCTCAGTGATTTAGGAATAACGGAAACTTGGAGAACTATGAGAGACATCATCCAGAAGATACAAGTATTCATAAACATTTGTCTACGCAAAATACCTTGGATTCGTTGGCCAGACTCGATCAGCAACAACGTACTGTGGGAGAGAACAAACCAGATTCGAGTGGAGGAGGAAATCAGGAAGAAGCGGTGGAAGTGTATAGGACACACACTACGAAAAGGACCGAACTGCGTCACAAGACAAGCCCTTGTATGGAACAATCAAGACAAAAGGAAAAGAGGAAGGTCAAGGAACACATTACGCCGAGAAATAGAGAAAGATATGAGAAGAATGAACAGAAATTGGACAGAACTGGAGAGGGCAGCCCAGGACAGAGTTGGTTGGAGAAAACTGGTGGGCGGCCAATGCTCCGTTGTCGGTACTAGGCGAAAGTAAAATAATATTTGACAACTAATATCTGATAACATTTTTATTCACAAAGGAAACACTGTAAAATTTAACAGATTTATGAATACAAGAAATCTTTCAAACGTGGTCATAAAACGTTATTCATATAGATCCACTTATTCGTTACGTTAATTT